ACACCTAGTGTTACAGCTGCCAAGTCTTGAGTGTCAGATTCTATGACCCTTGACAGCAGATTGTGTCAGTGGTCTTAGGCCTAGCATGTCAGAACCTTGCCTAGGGCATGTCACCTCACCAAAACTCTTCCAGTGATCAGAGTCCAAAATTTCCTGTCATTGCTCTCCACAGGCTTCTACCTTTTCTGTATTTCTACTTTCCCTTGTGTTCTCTTCTGCCTCTGTTCTGCACTTTCCCACTCCTGGTGACTTTCTGGGACTCTTCAGTCACTTTCTTATCATTGCTACTATTTCCATTGCTGTCATTTGCTGTTGCTGCTGCTACTGCTGATGTGGTTGTTGCCACAGATGGCTTGCCGCCATCTTCCCTTTGTGTTAGCAGTTAGCCTGTTCTACCCACAATAAAGATCATAAGCATGAAAGGAAACACATACACAGAAGCTTTTTCTTGAGACTATTGCTGCAATATCAGAGAGAAGGACAGGAGGAGGTGTGGTTGGAAAAGTGAGCTGAAGAGCCTGATTATATGACCAGAAAGGGTTAGAGAATGACTATGGCACATATACTTAGCACTGGAATTTTTAGGAAACCACAACCCATCTAGTTACATTAATTTCAGGCTTTACATCAAAACCATAAGCCTCCAACTGCATTCATCAGAAGCTTTCTGCACTGGGTATGAATGTATGCTTTCTGGCCTGAGTGAAAATAGCTCCTAGATGAATGGAGTTTATAAGAGTTTACCAATGCTCACCTTGGAATGATATCTTCAAGGTAACATCAGGTTGCTTGGAGCAGCTGGAATTCAAACAAGGCTTCCTGAAGCAGGAGTCATGTCCTTTGCAACAGCCTTGGTTGTAAGTGATCCTCGTTAGCAATTGGCATGTTTTTTTAGAGTAACAGTAAATTATCCCAAACAGCCAAGCTGCTATGAGAGCAGTCTGATAGTTTACAAAAGGGCTGTTTGACTGCCAGCACCCTCCTTGAGGAAGGTAGGAAAGAAAAAGGATCTGAGAACAACCATTCAAACAGTTCAGATGCTTGTTTCCAACAATTCAAGTTATTCAAAGGGGAAAAAAATCAAGAGGTAATATAACATTAACATTATTCACACAGTTAACATAGTCTTTTTTATTCCAGTGATGTCTTTGAGCCATGGTCCTCAAATTTCAGACTCCAGAGTAGCTAGGATTACAGGCATGAGTCAACAGCATATGGCTTACTTTCATATATTTCTGTATAAATAAATACAGTTTGACTAAAGTTATCTGGCTTTGTAGATATATTTGGCTTTAAAACAAAGGAAACATAATGTTTCAGAAGGAGTATGTTTTTTTTATTAAAAGTATTGGCTTAAATTTTAATTGAATTAACTAAAAAGAGAACAATTGAAATAGAAATAAAGGGTGCATACAGTTAAGAAAATAGTGTCTAACAAAAGACAAGACACACATTCTAATAAGAATGCTCTAATCTGAGAAAAGGGCACTTAGGAAAGGGGCGCGGGGACGCGGGGCCCATTCTTGTTACTGTACTGAGATAAGCCTTTCACTTGTTTTCTAGGAAGGAGCCAGACAGCAATAAGTCCTGAGGACACACACTGGTTTTGAAGTGGCAGGGTGTTAAATTCACTGACAGATCTTGAAAGCATTCTCTGTGATTTGAAAGAGGTAGAAATATACCTAGAAAAAATAGGTATGTTTACATAAGAAGATTTTTAAAAGATATTCTTTAAATAATTTGATATTCCCTAGATATATTTTAGTGAATATATAGTTTTGAATTTTATAAACCTTTAGAAAAGGAGGAAAATGACTGTTAGGTTTTTAAAAAGAGGTAGCAGAGTATGAGCAGCAGCATGAACGTGGTATTCAGGTAAGGGATAGGTTTAATAGTTCTGGCTGGTACCAGTCCATCTTGGTCCTCCACGTGGTGGGGAAAGGGCTGGGATAAAGAGCTGGGAGAGCTGGAAAAGAGAGAGAACTGGGAAAGAGAGAGACTGGGAAAGAGGGAGAAAAGAGCTAGTAAAGAGAGCATCTGGGAAAGGTGGGAAAGAGAGAGTTAGGAAAGAGAAGGGAGCCAGGAAAGAGAAGAGAAGGAAAGAGCTAGAAAAGAGCAGAGAGAGAGACCTGGGAAAGAGAGAGAGCTGGGAAAGAGGGAGAAAAGAGCTAGTAAAGAGAGCATCTGGGAAAGGTAGGAAAGAGAGAGCTAGGAAAGAGAAGGGAGCTGGGAAAGAGAAGAGAAGGAAAGAGCTAGAAAAGAGCAGAGAGAGAGAGCTAGAAAAGAGAAGGGAGCTGGGAAAGAGAAGAGAAAAGAAGGAAAGAGCTGAGAAAGAGCTAGAAAAGAGCAGAGCCAGGGCGGAGGGCCTCTGGGCCTGGGCTAGGCTTTATCTAGGGTATGGGCGGAGAAAGGTGTGGCCACATCAAATTCAGATATGACCTCAGCAGAGGCAGATGTGACATCTTCCAGGTGTCCCAGTTGCCTAGGTAACACAGGTCCTGGGTGGAGACTTTGCTGCAAGGAGAGTGGAGTCTGCTAGCCATCCAGGAGCTGACCTTACAATGACAGAATGTGATTCTAAGTCAGACCCCGCAGGAAAGTCAGTGAGACTCTTTTCTCCAATTAACCATCAGAACACGGAAAATGGTGCTGAGGCTCAAAGTGGAAGTGGTAGAGCACTAGCTTTGAGTGAAAACCCTCAGAGACAGTGACTAGATCCTGAATTCAAGCCCAGTGACTGTCAAAAAAATAAATTACTAAATTACAAGACCATTTCTAAGTATTATAAGGGCCATCACTATATTTCAAATCCAAATGAACACACAGAAAAGGGAAATACAAAAGAATTAGAAAGCATTCAAAGAAGTCTGATGAACTGCTTAGAGCAAAGTACATTTTGAGAGGAATAGCTCAGGGAACTGCAGAGCTCTTGTCATGACTGGCTTATGCTCCCTGTATGAACCAGAGGGACCACAACAGAGGACACTGGCTCTAAAGAAAGCTTTCTGATGAAAACATAGGTACTTTACATATAGCTATTTCTTCCAGCAAAATATATGCATGAAGAGACTTTAGTACAACGTAGACTTCAAAATATTTGTGAAATTCCTTTTCTCATGCTTCTGCACTGAGGTGGCTTCATCTACAGAAAATGATCAAAATATATTATATATATATATATATATTAACAATGTCATAACCACAAAAACCATAATCTTATAAACTGAGTCAATGTTCCTTAATCTTGTTTGAAAATTGCATTAACTCTGGTGGAATTCTGTCCATGCCATTAAAAAAGAATTTAAATAGCTTAAATAGGGATACAGGTTGACCCATTGCAACAATGAGATGTACAAGACACTATATTAAAAACGAACTTTACAACTTGGGCAGGGGGGCGGGGAGTTGGGGAGGTGGGAAGGGAAGGGATGGGAGGGGAAAATCAAAAGAGGAGGCAACAATGCTTGAATACAGGTGGACCTGATGCAAAAACGAGAAGTATAAGTTGTCATGTCCAAAACGAGCTTTACAACGTCGGTCCGGGGGGGGGGGGGGGGGAGGGGGGGGAGGAGAAGGATTGGGTTGGGGGGGAGGGGGGAGGCTGGGAAGGGATGTGAAGGGTAAACCAAAGGAGGAGGCTGCAATGCTTGGTAAGAAATGTACGCATTATCCTG